TACATTAAGAGACATACAGACAGATCCTATTCAAGTTTAAAGTAATACTATATTAAATTTCTCGGGGGTTATATGGAGAAACTTAACGCAGAAGGTGTCAATAAAATGAAGTCATTAAAGATAGGTAAATATAGGGAAACATAATCAGAAATAATGGTCTTTTCGGGCAGGGTAAGAAATGTACAAAGAGCAAAGGCATAGTGAAGAGCAATCTCAAAAAGCATTTAGGTAACAGGAAAGAGCTTACTTCCACTGGAAGGGGAGTTTTTCAGGGTGTATATTGGGAGAGGGGTAGAAAGAGGTTTCACAAACTGCTGAACTTGAATACCAAGTTTACTTGGTAGACGATGGCAAGTCACTATAGATTTTCGAAGTGTAAAACTAATCAGATCTATGCTGTAGTCCTCGTATTTTGTCAATAGGTGTTAGTGTACAAATGAGTGGTGTGAGACCAGAGGCAAGGGGAGCGCTTGGCAGATGTATGCAGCTGTCCTGAAGGAAATATTCAGGGGCTGTTCTGTATGTTCGGACTGGCACTAGCAGACGTCACATGCAACAGAGGCTGGAAGGGAAGAACCAGGGTATCTGGGTTATTGAATATGTTCTCAAAGGTGACCTTTAAGTGATTTGGCAGGACAGACTCTGAAAATGACTGCATTTTTTTTAATGGCAAATGCAGGGGAAGCAAGAATGAGCATCATTTTTGACATGCTGAGCTTAATATGTCGTGTCAATGTGTCAGGAAACCAATTTGTAAGGTTCCTGAGACTTGGACTTGTTCCTTGAGTTATCTATCTGCATGATGATGAAAGACAGAGACTATGGGGGACTGAACTGATGCAAAGACTCCCTTTTCTGTTCCCATTACAAACATAGGGAAATAACCATTTTTGAAACATATAGCTAAACTCAGAAAAGAAAGTCCTCAGGTTTCATCACAGAAAGTGTGGTGAGGATGCAGGTTGATGCCACTAGCACCTGGGAGTATCTATTTCAGATAAAATTCCTAGTGGCTCGAAAATGGGATTTGAATGTCGACGTGATAGGAGATAGATGTTCTACTAAAACATGCATTTTAAAGTGATGATTCTTGGAGCCCAGAATCTCCTCTTTGCCAATGCAAAGTCAGTGGAATTTGTGGAATATTATGGAAACCCCAAATAAGAAATTAAGGTAGAAATTTGTCCAAGAATTGGTAAAGTCCACTGGGCAAGGACAAAAGGCAGTCCTATCTTGTTTATAGAGACACTTGAATAACTCAAGAGTCTCATGAAACTCCCATAGAGACTAAAATCACCATGGAAAGATACAGTAAAAATTACAAACCACCTGACAATACAAAGAAGCAAAAAGAAAGAAGAGAGAAAGAAGCAAAAAGGAAAAGCAGGAAAACTTTAACAGAAAAGAAGGAAATAGAACAATCTGAAGAATTTAAATTAACCCCTTAAAATACAGAGGCAAAGGAAGAACATAATAGATCTTTATGAAAATGATGAAGATTTTACAAAAAGAAACATTTCTTGAAATGACAAATACATTTATATGGGAAATGATTGCATTCAGCTGCAGATTACATACAGTTGAAAGGGGTATTGGTGACTAGAAGTAGTATTCAAGGAAACTGCAAAAATAAAACACAGAAAAATGTAATAGAACTTTTGAAAGTGAGGTTAAGAGAGAGTGCCTCACAGAATTTTCAGAAGGAGAAAGCAGGGAAGGTAAATGTTAGAGATAGATTTGATGAACTAGTACCTTGAGGATTTTCTAGATTTGAGGAACAACATCAGTGTTAATATTAAAGAAGTATAAGTCCTGACATTCTCATAGTAAAATGCAGAATATTAGATATAAACAGAGAATCCAAAAAGTAGAGAACAAATTACTTTAAAATTGCTATAACAGAATTACCATTAAATAGCAAAATTCTCGTCAGCAAAACTGAGACCAGAGCTAGTGAAATATGCTCAAAATGGCAGAATGACTGTTCACCTAGAATTTTATACCTAACCAAACTATTAAACATTAATGAAGGTGAAGTAAAATTATTTGGTGAGAAAATAGTCTGCAAAACTTTACCATTACTGAAAGAACTAAACGGTGTAGTTCAGTAAAAAGGACATTAAGCCAGAAGTAAGAAATGGGATAAAATAAGAAATGGAGACGTTGCAGTTTGGGGCTTCAGCAGAATAGAAATGATTCAAGATAGATCTGTGAGAAGTTGAACTACCAGCCAATTGAAAATAGATAAAAAGTGCTGGGGCATAGTAGTGAGATTCTTGAGACTAAAATCTGTGTATTAACACTTTTTACAAGGGAATAAATCAGGCATTCAAGGGGAGGTAGTATTGCTGATGTTTCAGTGGTATTCAATTTTGGCAAGTTTCTAAATGGAACTTTAGAAATTATTTTGAGATATTGGTGATTGAATTTAGTTCCTCAGGTTTGTGATTTAATTGGCCTGGAGTGTGTCAACCATTAGAGTTTTGGCTTTTAAACTCCCCAGGTGATTCTGTGCAGGCAAGTTTGAGAACCACTCTAATAGATTGCTATAGAAATTGACTTTAGCTACTATTCAAAGCGGACAATATAGACTATTTTTATCATGGGGGAGGCCATTTCATACTCATGAAAATGTTTCACTTTTTACCAGCAGCAAGCTTTTTCTGTAAAAGACTGGATAATGATATTTTAGGTTTCGTGGGTCAGATCATGTCTGTGCTCCTATTCAACTCTTATGGTGCAGAAATAGCCATGGATAATAGGTAAACAGATAGGCATGGCATTGTTCCAATAAAATTTGACTTGCAAAAGACTAATGAGCAGGATTTGGCCTATGGGTCTTCGTTTGCCAACCTGTGCTTATAGGATGTTAAAGTAAGCTAATGAACGTAGTTGAGAACCATCACATTTGTTTCGGGGGGAAAGTAGCTCCATGTGTAAATAGGTGGGAGAAGTGGCTCACAAGGATGGAAAAGAATGTAGGAAGATGAAATGCAGTGAAGAATGGAGACCAGGCAAACCTTAGGCCTGGGAAGGAGTCTGAGGGAAAACTTGAGTGAATGAAAATGCAGGTGATGTTACCAAAGGGTAGTTATGGCCAGATGGTAAAGAATGCAAGAAAGGTTGGTTTGCTTTATATCATTTTGAATTTGTTGTTTTTTTCTTACATTGTTTTTCATATTTAAATTTTTTTTTTCAACGTTTATTTATTTTTGGGACAGAGAGAGACAGAGCATGAATGGGGGAGGGGTAGAGAGAGAGGGAGACATAGAATCGGAAACAGGCTCCAGGCTCTGAGCCATCAGCCCAGAGCCTGACGCGGGGCTCGAACTCACAGACCGCGAGATCGTGACCTGGCTGAAGCCGGACGCTTAACCGACTGCGCCACCCAGGCGCCCCTGTTTTTCATATTTAGAGGGATGGCATGTAAATGGATGGCTTGGATTTTGTATTGAACCACATCTAGATATTTTGGGTTCAGAATGAAGTAATTATTCATTTATTTATCTGTAATCATTATATCTGAATCGAAAATGTTCTTTTTCATCTTTAGCCACCTTTTCCAAGTGTTAGGTTTATAGAACATTTTCTCTCTACATATCTTGTTTAAATTTATACAGGCTATTCAAATAAGATAATGATAGTAATTGCAAGAGCAGAGAAATGATTTCCTGCATAACTTTCAAGTTGTACTTGAATTATCCTATTCATCCCTCTGTCTTCTTTACTGCTTACTTGACTTACTGAATTGTTTATTTAATTCCAAAACACAACTTCTATTCACATTTTAATACTTTTGAAATTAGATTATGGCTTTAGAATCAATGAGTACGTATTGAATCATTGAATATATATGAATATATTTAATATGTATATTTTTTTTACTCCAAAACCTGTTATAAAATTTATAGTGTATCTTATAATGGACAACATCTTAGAATCAAGGAAATATGGTATTATCTTTTGTCTTGTTTTTGCTTCCACCTTTCTGTTGGCAACCACTTCCAGAGTTCCCGGAGAATTAACATTTCTGGAAAACTACTCTGATCTTGTTACTACGTTACCTAATAATTTTGAGTGATCTCAAAGTTCAGACTCCTTGGCATGGCATTCCAAGGGCCTTACTATCTAAAGCCTGTTATATTCTGGCTCACAGAATTGGATCTCCAGCCTCATTTCCTACCACCCCTCTCTCACTCATGTGAATTGCTTCATCCCTGACAATCAGACACATGATGCATTATTTTAATACAAGTGTTGTAAAAATCTCTGAGGAAAGTTTAATAAAATGGGATTGGTGTTGAGCTGAAAATAGCTAAAACAGGCTTTTTCTAAAGCTTAATACTTTAAGATGGAAAAGTATCATTATCATTTCAGGAAAGGCTTGACTTTTTCTATTAGAGTAAATTGTTGAAGAAGCTTACAGGATATCTTTATATGGAGCCTTTAAAACGTAGACTAGACACTCTTCTGTATAGGATGATTTAGGTATACCCACGAGAGATAAACAAGATGAACTTTGAGGTTGTGGCCAACTCTAGGAGTTTTGGGGTGATTAATGACTCTATCTAAATGAGGCCAAAAGATCCAGATGGGAGTGAAGAGAAATTCAGTTAGTCATCTACTTGCTATTTCTCTATGATTCCAAAGAACTAGATATTTAACAGTTGGATGTGTGTACTTACTTAAATAAAACTATGTAGTTCACTGGTATTTTCCACTTTGAATGTTCATATGCTGCTATAGCATAAATAATTCCACAAGATAAACACCTGTTACTCCATCTGCCATCAAATAACATTCATCAAATTGTCATTATTAGAAAAAAATTGAGTTAAGTGAAAAATGTTCCAAAATTGTTTTTCTTTGTTCTAAGAATAATAATGGACTAGGGTAAAAAATATTTTGATGACTTTTTAGCTATTCATTTTTATAAAATGGAAATTAGGAAATGACTTAAATCATCTATATATTTATATGGCTCTATATTTTAAATTTAGGTATGTGTCTTGCACCCTGGGCTGTCCGTATGAAGGAAACATCACACCACAAAAAGTGACAGAAGTAAGATATACCTGTGGTTTTCTGGTTCTTGGTAAAATGATGTATAATATTTTTAAAAGCGGGCTGTTCTCCTTACTGTTGATTGCATCTGCACAACCAAGTTTCAGGAGAACCATGGAAGACAAAATTGATCACTTAACCAGTAGTTTCATTTTGACACTGAAGATGTATATATTGGCTACAACTATTCAAAGTTAAATCACATTTGAGTCTGCTTATGTTAGGGTTCATAGATGAAACATTTTTACATGGGTGGAACTTAGTGGATGACCTTTCCACGTTCCATCAGAATGTCAGGGAACTTTGTACATGCACACTTAAACTTTGCTTTGATTGCTCAGTTATCATCCCTGTGTTCTTGTCCTGCATACTTGGGCACTTGTATCAGAGTGTATACACTGCTTTTTCTGTACACTGTTCATTCCTTTGAGATCCTATACTTCGTCCTGAGACTCCAGTGCCTTTCATTAGAGAGCAGTTTTGCAGGAATAGATAATAGTCCTTAAAGATGGCATTGTTAGAAATTCAGAACTTAGGGTAAACCTTTGATTTGGCTAAAGCCATTCCTCTTTTGTGCCTTCATTTGAAATTTTGAAATTTGTTGCAGATTTTTCAAATGCGTGCTATCCCAGTCTATTTAAGGAATACCTTTGCACACAGAGGCAGATATACTGTAAAATAAAGAAGCTTAAATATTTTAGTCCTTCACCTATATGGTACCCTTCTAAGACTCCTTATAAATTTGCATTCACAATTATATATTATTTTCTTAAAAAACACTTCCAAAACGATAGAACTTTACGCTCCACAAAAACTAGGCTCCAAATCTACCTGTCCACCAAGCCCCTTGCTTTGCTGCCTTTTGCCTCATGGATGAGGTCTATGGATGGACCACACATACCCTCAGGCTCTCCATCACTGCACCAGAATGTCTGAGGAGTTGCTGAAGAGAACTGCGTAACAGGCAGATTGGAAGCATTAAGAATGCATGACCAGCAACCTTAAGTGAGTCATCTAGACTTAACCTTAGTTATCCGACATAAAGGGAATTTGCTGGTTACTTGGCATAAGTGCATCCATTCATGAACCAGAAGTATTAAGTTAGTGACTTAATATACTTAAAATACTAAGTGACTCTACCAATCACACAACTACTTAGTGACAAAGCTGAAAGTATTTTTGATATCTCGTGACCTCAAATCTCATGCCTTGAGAAATACTACTTCCAAAGTAAATTTGTAATGCTTCTGTTTGTTTAAAGGGCTGAGAAAGTAAGCCTCCCATAATTGAAATTGTAGCTTATAATTGCATAACTGAACATGGAGATGGACAGTTATGATTCTAAGACCAACTTGAATATTAGAAAAAGATAATTATAGTAATGTCTTTAAAACTTTTATATAATAGTTAGGATTTAATAACCAAGGAAAAGGACCAGAAAATTAAAATATGTGTTTCCCATGAATACATAACTGATCTTAGGTATGACTTTTACTTGTAGATGATGTCTGCTAAGGAGTAACAGGGTTTGAATTTGTTCATTTCCATTATTATTATTATTATTATTTTTTTTTTACTAGCTTCTCACCTTTCCCAACAGGTATCTAAAAGATTATATGGCATGGGCTGTTATGAGATCTCTCTAGGAGACACTATTGGAGTGGGAACTCCAGGAAGCATGAAAAGAATGTTGGAGAGTGTCATGAAAGAAGTCCCACCCAGTGCGCTTGCTGTTCACTGCCATGACACGTATGGACAAGCCTTAGCAAATATCCTTACGGCCCTTCAGGTATTTTGCGTTATTTGTGTGTAAGTGTAAAATGGGTATCCTTAATGATAATATAAACATGTTAAAGGGTTTAGTGAGGTAATATTTATAAATTGCTACGAATATAATATTTAAACTACCCACCCCATGACAAGTACTCAGGAAACATCTGCAAATTGCGCATTTATTTTTAGGGCGATGATGTCTCCTATTCCTGTTAATTTTATTTGATAAAATTTCTCTTTTTTCTTTTCTTTTTTTTTTTTTTTTTTTTTTTTTTTTTTTTACTAAAGGGTAGTTCAATATTAGTTTTAGGTGCAACATAGTAATTCAGTAATTATATGCACGATTGCCACAGTCAGTGTAGTCACCCTCTGCACCATACAAACTTACTACAATATTGACTATATTCCATGAGCATTTCATGCTTATGACTTTGTTTTATAACTGGAAGTTTGTACCTCTTAATACTCTTCATCTATTTCACTCATTCTCCATACCCTACTCCCTTCTGACAATCCAGAGTTTGTTCTCTGTATTTATGAATCTATTTCTGCTTTTTTCTTTGCTTGTTCTGGTTTTTAGATTCCACATATGAGAGAAATCATGTAGTATTTATTTTTTCCTCTCTGACTTATTTCACTTAGTGGAATACCCTTTAGGTCCATCCATGTTGTTGCAAATGGCAAGATTTCATTCTTTCTTAGGGCTGAGTAATACTGCATTGTGTATATATGTACCACATCTTCTTCATCCTTTCATCTATTGATGGACACATTGATTGCTTCACTATCTTGGTTATTGTAAATAATGCTGCCACAGAATGGATAGACACATATATCTTTTCGAATTAGTGTTTTTGTTGTCTTCAGGTAAATGCCCAAAAGTTGAAATATGGGTTGTATGGTCTTTGTATATTTAATTCTTTGAGGAAATTCTGTAACATTGCGCACAGTGGCTGCACCAGTTTGAATTTCTGCCGGCAGTGCGTGAGGGCTACTTTTTCTCCACATCCTCACTAGCACTTGTTATTTCTTGTCTGAGACCAGCTATTCTGACAGGTGTGAGCCAATATCTCATTATGGCTTTGATTTGTGTTTCCCTGATGATTAGTCATATTGAGGATCTTTTAATGTGTCTGTTGGCCATCTGGAATCTCCTTTAAAAAATATTCAGGTCCTCTTCCTATTTTTATTGGATTTTTTTGGTGTTAAATTGTATGAATTCTTAGTATATTTTGGATATTATCCCCTTATCAGATACATCATTTGCAAATATCTTCTCCCACTTAGTAGGCTGCCTTTTTGTTTTGTTGATGATTTTCTTCACTGTGCAAAAGCCTTTCATGTTGGAATAGTTCCAATACTTTAATTTTGTTTTTGTTCCCTGTGCCTGAGGAGACATGTATAGAAAAATGTTTCTGAGGCCAGTGTCTAAGAGATTACTGCCTATGTTTTGTTTTAAGAGTTTCATGGTTTCAGGTCTCATATTTATGTTTTTGAATCTATTTTGAGTTTATTTTTGTGTATAGCATAACAGAGTGATCCAGTTTCATTCTTCTGCATGTAGATGTCCATTTTTCCCAACATCATTATTAAACAGACTAATGTATATTCTTCACTTCTTTTGTATTTTCCAAAGTCCTTTGTCACAGATGAATTAACCATAAAACTATGGCTCTGTATCCTGTTCTCTTGATCTATGTGTCTTTTTTTTTCTTTTAATTACTTTAGCTTTGCAGTATATTTTGAAATCTGGAATTGTGAGACCTCTGGTTTTGTTCTTCCTTCTCAAGATTGCTTTGGCTATTCAGGGTGTTTTTTGCTTCCCTACAAATATTAGGATTATTGTTCTAAGTTATGAAAAATTTGGATTGAATCTTTAGATTACTATGGGGTTGTATGGACATTTTAATGATATTCTTTCAATCGATGAGCGTGATACAGCTTTCTATTTCTTTCTGTCATTTTCAGTTTCTTTCATTAATTACTTACAGATTTCAAATGGCAGGTCTTTCACCTGCTTGGTTAAATTTATTGCTAGGTATTTTATTATTGATGCAATTGTAAATAGAATTGTTTTCTTAGTTTTTCTTTCTTCCACTTTGTTATTACTGTATATAAATGCAACAGATTTCGCTTTAGTAATGTTCTATCCTGCAACATTACTTAATTCATTTTGTAGTTCTAACAGTGCTTTTGGTGTGGACTTCAGGGACTTCTATATAGATCATGTCATTTGCAAAGAGTGACAGTTTTACTTCCTCCATAATAATTTTTTTTTTTTTTTTGTCTGATTGCTGAAGCTGAGATTTGTAGTACTATGCTGGATAAAACTGGCGACATTGGATACACTTGTCTCATTCCTGATGTTGGTGGAGAAGCTTTCTTCTTTTCACCATAGAGTATGATGTTAGCTGTGGGTTTTTCATATGTGGCCTTTAATATGTATAGGAATATTCCCTTTAAACTCACTTTTTTGAGAGTTATTATTAAGTGCTGTTGAATTTTGTCATGAGCTTTATCTACATCTGTTGAGAGGATCATAAGATTTTTGTTCTTCATGGTATTAAGTGGTGTATCATGTATGTTGATTGGTGGATATGGAACCATCCTTGCATCCCTGTAATAATTGATTATGGCGACTGATCCTTAATGTATTATTTATTGGTTTGATAATGTTGAGGATTTTTGTGTCTATGTTCATCAGAGACATTGGCCTGTAATTTTCTTTTCTAATAGTGCCTTTATCTGATTTTTGTACCTATATTTTGTTTAACAAGTTTTTGTGATGTTGCAGGCATCCTCTTCAGAGACTCTTGGCTTTTTTTATCAAGTACATTATTTTAGGTCATCAAAATGAAGACATTTGGAAAGCTGGGTGATGAAAAATTACTTACTAAATTCTAATAACTTAATTATTTTTAATGCATTTATTTAAAACACTACATATAAATAGTGTTTATGGATATATCTTACAATTAGTGTTAGCTTGATAACCTTAGTTAAAAATAGGTTTGTGTGATGTTTATAGAACCCATGATTTTGACAAAACAAGACTGTATCAAAACTTTCTAGTGTGGCTGAAAATCCGTATCATAGAACTGTATGTCATAGTCCTAAAGTGTACAGTTGTTTGGCAGAAGTTAAAAAACAATGTGAAGATCAAGCCCGACAAAGGGCTTATTTTGACTTTGTAGCATATGTGCACAAATCCATGTTTATCCTCTGGAAGCAGGCAAGGAACACTGTATTGAATTACAACAGAAAATGATATCCCATGGACTTTTGGGCGTGGGAATTTTTACAATTTTCCCGTCCTAGGTATTCTAGCTTCTAAAACAATAGACAAGTAGGGATCACTTCAGGATTCTGTGTTCAGCTACAACTGTAACTTATTAAGTGTTCCTGACCAGCCAGCTCCTGAAGACATCTGCCTCACCCGCCCCTCTCTGACTTGTCTGTGTGGATATTCCCTTTCTCTCTCCCTCTCCCCCTCTTTCCCCTCACTTCTCTCCTTCCCTTCCCCTTCCTTTCCTCATCCCACTATATGGGTGTATCTTCTATGCATGGTGACACTTTGGGTGGTGGTTTATTTGTGTAGCACAGTTACTATATAATGAATGATAATTTAGTTCTTTGGGATTTAGGAGTATGGTGCAAAATCTGAGAATCCAAACTTCTTCTGGAAACTACCTCTTGAAAATGCCCAAATGCAAAATATTGCTGATACCCTAATGTGATTTTAAAGGTTAACAAGGCCTATTTGAGAAAGTAATGCTTAAAATCAGATATAAAACACGAGAACTAACCCCTATAAGGGGTGTAAGTATCTGTGTGTGCACGCATGTGCACATGCCAGTGTGTGAAAAGAATAGTTCAAGCAGATGAAATACCACTTGGGCAAAAGGCCTTGGGAGAGGGGAAGATTTTGTCCTAGGAACTGAGAGAAGACAAATAATTTACAAGAGAAGCTAAGCTTTATGACACAGGCTGAATTAATTGAAGAGCATCTCCTTGCAAAGAGGTGAGGACTGAAATCTTGGGGCATTTTCCCATCCTGAAACAGCCATACAAAGGGTTGGGAAATAACCCTGGTCCCAAGCAAGATGGTAACATGAATGAGAACGTGTATAAGGTGGAGACCCCTCCCAAATGCCAAGCTCTCAAAAGGTGAACCAGCAAAAATTCCTCCTCACGAGAGGAAAAGGCAAGGGTATTCATTCTCATGGCTTTGGCTACATATACAGGAGAAATACTAAGTCCATCTTTATATGTCATAACTTTTTGCCAATCCCTGTGTGGACTTAGGGTTCAAATTCACATCACCTGTGCAGTGAAAGACCCAGGCCGATAAATTGTTTTTAACTGGTTGTGGGTTAGTGGCACCTTGAGGTGCCAGGAATAATTTAAATTTTTTCTGAAAGAACACGTCTTCAACTTAAGCTGAGCTATTTTTGGTGTGTGTGTGTGTGTGTGTGTGTGTGTGTGTGTGTGTGTGTGTGTGTGTGTGTTGTGTTGTGTGTGTCAGGGGAGGAAAAGGGCAAAGGGGGTGGATCTTGTCTTCAGCAGCCCCTGTAGCACTTAGTAGGAAATATATCTACCACTTTCTATAACTATGTGTTCTATTCTTGCACTATGTGCATAAGCACCAGGTAAGTATGGGAGGTAGGAGGGTAGAATGGAGGCAGGGCCCTGGGAAAGCAATAGTGTATTTCCAGCCTGGTCTTCCATTGCCCCAGATCATAAGTTGTTGTCACCGTGTAAATTGGTAGAGAAGAGGGTAACAGTGGCTTGTCTAGGAAACAACATGATGTAAAGCTGGAGAGGCTAGTTGAAATGAACAAGTGAGTACATGGCCAAAAAGCAGAAACCTGCTGGGGAATCTAACATTTGAAGTTGTAAAGTTTTGTCTTTTTTGCCATCCACTTTTATCCAGTTTGATGTCCCTGACAATCTACACTATTGCTCTCTTTGAAACTGAGTGTAGCTGAGACAATGTTTCAATGTTTTGGAACTTTT